ATATATATATATATTTGTTGTTAAGTGCCGTCAAGTCTGTTCCAACCTATAGCGACCCTTGTATAGGGTTTCCGAGAAGTGGCTGGCAGGTTTGAACTGCCAAACTTGTGTTTCAAACTGACCTTGCAGTCCAGCATATTACACCAGGCCTATATATATTTTAAGGTTTTAAAGTCTGATAAAACTGATTCACACTTTGTTCTGCCATTAGCTCTGTGATTTAGTGCCCTGGGGTCTAAATTAATTAACCTTTGATTTTTGGTTTCTCACCTGTCTAATGGGGATAAAAGCCATAAAGATTAAGGCTCAGAAGAATTCAATAGAGGCTTGCGAACACTATTCTAGAGGGGTTTAACAATATTCGAGGGGCTTCAGAATGATGAACCTCCATGCTTGGGAAATCTGCACCATCTCTCTGTTACCAAAGCTCCTACTCTGATACCTTTGGGAACCTTTGGTTTTTATGAACATGTTTTGTTCCAAGTGAGGCAAACCTATATTTCTGAGAACTCCATGCCTGGTGCACTGTGAGCGTCTGATTCATCTACCCAACTGTGCCTGTGCCTAGAGTTGTCGCCCATTGGCCTAGATGCCCATTCTGCATTTGCACCACATCCAACACAGTCTTCAGCTCCCCAAAACGCTCCAGAGTCTCTTCTGGGGTCTTTGCACATCCTGATCCTCTTCCTGGAATGCTCTTCCCCACAACCATTTGCAAGCCCTGGGCAAGCCCTCCTCCCATTCCGGGAGTCTGATTAGATGTTCCCTCCTCCGGGAAGCCTTCCCTGAGTTCCCAGGGCTGGTTGGTGCCCTTCTTCAGTGCCTGGAGCACAGACTGACCTGGCACCCCGCTCTCAGTGCCTGCTCAGCCCCATCCACTCAGGCGGCCTCTTCACTCGCCGGCTCCCTCACACTCCGCCGCCCGCCTTACCCTGCAGAGCCGACCTCCAATAGCGTCTGCAGCTGTGTCTGTGCCCAGCCTGGCACCCGAGCCCTTGGAGGCAGCCTTCGATCCTGAGGCTGAGCCCCAGCACGGCCCTGCGTCTGTCTACACGATTGAGCTCGATAAGACTTCCGTCATGCCCAAAGAATGCTTCTTCTCTGACAGTGCCGCGAAAGAGATGTTTCTTCTGTTTCCCCGGCCCTTCAGCCAGGGCCACGGCAGCAATTTGACCTGGGTCAAGTCCTGCTGCGTCAGAGGAGGGAGCCTGGGGGTCCCCATCTCCACCCTGATACCCAGGGTGGGCATCCCCCTCCTGACATGTCCCCAGGGTGAAGGCAGAGACTCACAAGGGAGGTGGGCGTGGAGGAGGTGCTGCTTGGCTCCATGTCAAACACAGTCTGGATCTCCTCCTCAGGCTGCAGTGGGGAGAGAGGATGGTGGGTCACAGAAGGGGGATGTCTGCCCTCTGCCCCCCTCCCCCCATCCAGAGGAGTCTGGATCTGACACTATCCTGGGACTCAGTTCACTTCCAGTTGGTAGGGCTGAGGCTTAGGGGAACAGGGAGAGGGTGGGACGCTAGAGGACCCCTTCCAGAATGTTCCATTCCCAAGGACCAGAATGGGGCAGGTAAGCAGAGTTGTGACTGGGGCTCAAAGATATGCCTGCTTCGACTTCTAGGAGAAGCCTTAACTTTAACTTTATTTTTCTCCTGAAACTCTTCCTCTCCACTAGTCTTAGACTCATATGGTCTAAGTTCCCGGACACTGTCCTTCTCTAAGTGAACACTAGAACAACCAGATCATAAGACTTTGTTGTACTAGGAAGGCAAGGCCAAAAGAGTCATCTACCTGGTCCCTTCACTAGCACGGTACACTGGCCAAGTGATGGAGAAAGGTCAGGCAAAGACCGGTTCTGACTGTGCCCAGCATCTCAGAAACAAGGGTCTTCCACTTATCTGTCCTTCCCACATGATGTCACATCACCATATTTTAAACCAACTTCCTTTCCTATCTTTGTATAAACCCACTTAAAATGGAAACAATTCATTATCATCATCAGAGAATCTATCAGTAGGCCTAAGAAGAGAATAGAAAACTAAGTATGTAGCCCTAAGAAACTGAACATGTTTGGGTTCACTGAACATCATTCCAGTGGCCCAGGACAAACACCCCACCTTGGGAAATACTGATCTGGAGCCCAGCTGGCATGGCTCCGAATGGCATGGACCGGCCTCTTCCTCCAAAGTGACTTAGTGACTGGCTGTGGCCAGTGTGAAAGAGACAAAGAGTCCCTGGGGCCAGGAAGCCAGGCACCATTTCCAAACTTAACAGTCTCAAGTTCAAAGCCCTGGGATTCTTAAAAGCTCCCACTTTTAAGATTGTCCTACCTTCCCTCGTTAGTTCTATCCCCTCTCTCCCAAGACTGTACCCCTTAGAGTGGGAAATCACAGCTCCGTGACTGGACAGGGTGACTGTTGCATGGGACACAGGCCTGCAACCTGTTGTTTGGAGATGTCAGAGTGAAGAGAGGGGAGCACAGTGTCTTCTGGACTTCTCCAACCCACGAGGTGAGCAAGGCCCTGGGTGTCAGTACACACACACCCCATAATCAGAAGAGTGAGAACCTTTCTTCCTTGTGTTAAGGGTGTCCAGTCTGGGGGGCATCCAGGAACCATGTTCCCCAGGGCCAGGGAGAACCAGTGGAGGGAAGGTAGGTTGGCCACTCACCTCATAGCTAGATACTCTCCGAAGCTTCTCCAGAAGAGTGCTAAGGAAGGAGATAATTATGGAAAGGAGAAGGGTGGAGAGGGAGAAGATGGTGATATCGTGGGTTGAACCTGCAAGAAGAAATGACCATGAGCCTGGTGTTTGAGATGCCCCTGGTGGACAGAAGCCTGAGGACCAGCTCAGCCTGGGGCACAGAGACCCTTACCCAACTTGCTACCCATTTCTTACAATATCATCCCTCTGTTCAATCTGATCAGCTTAGAACTAGGCATTTTGTAGATTCCGGGGATAAAATTCTTGAATTCTTCTTGTTAGTTGCTGTCAAGTCATCTTCAACTCTGGCACCATCCTCACAATCATTGCAATGTTTGAGCCCATGAGATTTTCAGGGTTCTGACCTTTCAGATGCAGATCTCCAACACTGTCTTCCGAGGTACCTTCCAGTGGTAGTTGAGCACGTAATGGATTGCACCCCCAGGGACTCCTCTAATGGACGTAAGTACTAACTTAAATGCCCATTACGCATGTCCTTCTTGACCTGTCAGTTACCGCCACCATCTTGGTCCTGGGAAGCATCTTTGAGTCCCCCCATTTATGACATTGCCCCCAGACCCAATCTTTCCTGCAAGGCCTTGCGAAGCAACAACAGTTTCCTGTGCTCATGGTATAAAAAGCAAGCCAGGATTAAAGAGTTACATTGGGATATTTGGTAACTTTTTTATGGTAGCAGTTTTCTAAGTAGCTGGAAAAATCAATAAGGAGCTCTGGTAGCGTAGTGGTTACGAATCGGGCTGCGAACCTTAAGGTCAGCGGTTCGAAACTACCAGCCGCTCCGCGGGAGAAAGATGAGGCTTTCTACTCTCGTAAAGATTTACGCCCTCGGAAACCCTGTACAGGGTCGCTATGGGTCGGACCCGACTCGATGGCACTTAACAACAACAACAACAACAGTCAAAGATGACTACCTAACAATGCTTACTGCCGTGATTTAAAAATGGAAAAAAAAAAAAAAAAAGTCTAAAAAACCTCAGTATCCAACAATGGCCAGCTGACTAAAATGTAGCTGTCCAGAGGCACGTGCGCTGACAGTGTTTAAACAGCACAGGAAATTGCTCAGAGCATCTGAGTCTTCAATGAAAAACCTCAGAATACAAGACAATGGCATAAAACGAACAGAATGACATCACATTTATAATTTTCTAAAGTAATGTAGTTTCTTCAACCTGAGTCCACCGCTATGGTGCCCGCAAAGAAGGGTGGCGAGAAGAAGAAGGCTCGTTCTGCTATCAACGAAGTGGTGACCAGAGAGTACACCATCAACATTCATAAGCGCATCCATGGAGTAGGCTTCAAAAAGCATGCCCCTCGAGCACTCAAGAAGATTCGGAAATTTGCCACGAAGGAGATGGGAACACCAGACGTGCGCACTGATACCAGGCTCAACAAAGCTGTCTGGGCCAAAGGAATCAGGAACGTCCCGTACCATATCCGGGTGCAGTTGTCCAGAAAATGTAATGAGGATGAAGATTCACCAAACAAACTCTATACACTGGTGACCTATGTGCGTGTCACCACCTTCAAAAATCTACAGACAGTCAATGTGGATGAAAACTAACAGTTTATGATCAAATAAATGTATAAATCTGCAAAATAAATACATAAATAAAATAAAATAATATAGTTGCTAGGTACCATTGAGTCGGTTCCAACTTATAGCACAACAGAATAAAAAAACACGGCCCAGTCCTGCACTATCCTCACAATTGTTGTTATGTGTGAGCCCACTGTTGCTGCTACTGTGTTGATCCATCTATTAAAGTAATAATAAACCAAAAATTCCTTTCCCAGAAATAGATGCATAGGTTGAGGGCTGGGAGTCATATCCATCGAGCTCTGGATGAGATGAAGAGCATTTTACGGTTTGGTCTTTATGTACACATACATGTAACCCTTTATACTTAGAAGAAAGTATTACGGAGAAGATGAGTTGGCTAGGTAGCTGGGGGAAAGGCGAGTGGGATAATAAATTGGGGGTGATAACAAATGCAAATCACCACAAGTAACTGAGAGTTGACAATGTGCACATACCATTGTAATAAAGGAGCATTGACAAGAAAACTACAACGTAAGATGTTCCCATCGCTATTCCACTGTGAAGTTCAGGTTAAGTGTCCCTGTGGAAGGGGCCATGTCGGTGGGAACTGGGGAAGCAGGGGGAACAGGAAGTGGCCTGGAGGAGGGATTGGGATAGGGGCTGGCAGAAACCTGGTGAGATGGGTGTCCAGTGGGGAGATTGCAGAAGTGTGCCCAGCCTTTGAGGGTATCTCTGGGCTGACTTGGGCAGCAATGTCTGAGACACAAATGGCAGGGACAGCAGCCCAAGCGTCAAGGGAAAGTGGGTCAGTTTCTCCGGATTTTCTACCACCTGTAAGACCCTGGTAGGATCCCAGAGGGAGTGCCAAGGAAATTGAGCCCCCAAATAACTGTGTTATTTTCTGCCAGCCTTACATTAGAATGAAGGAATCTTCCTTGCCCGGAGTGTTGTAATTAAGACTCCACACAATTTGGACCACATGGTCCAAGCCCTCCCCTGAGCCTCAAAGCTCTCACCCTTGAACATGACCTGTAGGTCAGGTGCTTTCTGCTCTAACAGACTGTGTGTCAGTTTTCACAGAGCAGTGGAGGTCAGGCAAAGGCGAGATTGCAGGGCAGGCTTGACTCATACCTAGTCGTAGGATGGAGAAGAAAAGCATCCATAATAGACCCAGGAGTGGTGCGAAGATGGCCTGGTGGACCGCGGCCATGTGGATCTGCTCGTTGAGCTTGGTGGGCACATAGGAGTAGTACATGTTGTAGCGGTCTGTCATGTGCTTCATGCACAGATACAGCAGCCCTGGGGGCCAGAGGACAAGAATACATCAGCGGCTACTTCATCAGTCGGGACCTATGTCACTCAAGGCAACTACAGGCTTGAGAAGCCAGACTAACTCAAGGCTGAAGAATAGCAAGAGCCAAGAGCAGCCTGGGGCAGTCCATGGGGCTGACCTCTGGTACCAGCAGCTTTCTTTGAGCTCCCCTATGCTGCCAGCTTGGTGAAGAGTGATTCAGTCATTCATTCAATAGACATGTTATGCACACAGTCATCTCGCCTCAGCCCCCTTTCCTGACCCTGGAACCTACCCCGCACGTTGTCCCAGATCTCCTCAGGCTTCAGGAGGTAGCCTGAAGTTGTGGAGCTCAACCCCTCCTCCCAGTGTGAGGCTGTGCAGTCTAATGGGTGTGTCTCAGAGGTGACTCACCAAAAGGGACAATGATCGGGCAGGTGATGCTGTACGCCATGACCACGCTGAAAACATTCATCATCCATGCGTACTCTCGCCCAAACTGGAAGTCTAGGGCCTGGCGCTGAATGGAAGGCAAGGGATCACCATGAGGGTTCCTGGCCATCTCGGCTTGGCTGCTTCTGTAGTTCCTTATCAGCCCCTGGGAGCTGGTCGGCAGTTCAGTCTCCCTCCCAGTTTGGGAGTCTCAGAGGTACTCAGCCACACCATACTCCAACCTTGGGTTTCTTAGTGCTTCCAGCAGACTCCACCCCAGGCTCCCTTCCTGCCACCTTCCCAAGAGATATTCTAAGGGCTGTGTTCAGGGAAGGGCCAGTCCTCACCTTTCTGATTTGAACTCTCTCTGGCTCCGACCTGGAGAAGAAGAGGCGGGTGCTATACAGGAAGAGTGAACCCACACGCATCAACTCCATGCCGGTGCCAATCAAAGCTGCAGTGATCACATAGTTGACGAAGAAGGCGCCATTGTCTGGCAGGAACACGCACCTGGGACAGAGGTGGCAAGGAGAATAGGAAAGGGGAGATGTTGGAAAAGAGAAAAACACCAGAGGGAGTAAGAATTAGGGGTGAAGAAGAGAGAGATGAAGGGAATAAAATTTTACATCTGTATCTCTCTCCATCCCAAATTAATAAGCAGCTCTTTTGAGCAGGGATGAGATCGTCTATATAGCATGTTGTTGTTGTTAAGTGCTGTCAAGTCGGTTCCGACAATAGTGACCCTGTATAGGGTTTCCGAGGAGCAGCTGGTGAGCTGGAACCTCTGACCTTGCAGTCAAACGGCTTTGCAGTCTGGTGCATTAACTCACAGCGCCACACCAGGACTCCTATATAAGGTGTTGGTATTTGAAATACACACACTGGCAAGTTCAAAAGCAGTGGTGTCTGACTCTGAGTCCATAGACCTTAGAGTGTCCAAGGATAGAATTCTGGGGTTTCGTGACCTGGCATGGAAGAAAAAAATTGTATCTCGGTTTTCAATAAGGTCTAATTGAATTTTACAATTTCCTTTCATTGAGAATACAGGTAACAAATCACAGCAATGTTAGTTTTTACCTAAGCAGATTGCCTCATCTTGCTCCTACAGAGCGACTGTGGATTTGAACTGCCAACGTTTCAGTAAGTAGTCCAAATGCTTAACCACTGTGCTACCTTGGATCTTCCTTGTCAGTCATACGGGGTCACTAGGAGTTGACATTAACTCGATGCCACCAAACAATAGCATGTATGAGTGCCTGTCATTTGCAACTTTCTATCTTAGAAATTTGAGATTTTCAGTGTAAAAAAATATTTTAACCATGAAAACAAACTTGGCTGGATGTCCACCATAATCTGCATGCCACCTTGTCAAAACTACCATTCCCTACAACTGCCTGCTCTCATTCAGTCTAAGTACCATCAACCTTCACACCCATGCCTCTAATAAAGCAGTAACATTTAGCTTTACTGGAGTCCTGGTGTGGCACTGTGGGATAAAGCACTGGACTACAAGGTTGGTTTGAATCACAAGGTTGGCTATTCAAACTCACCAGTCACTCCTTAGAAACCCTCTATAGGGTTGCTACTGAGTCGGAACCGACTTGACAGCACTTAACAACAACAACAACAACAATTTAGCTTAAGCAACACTGGTAGCATAGTGGGTTACAAGTCGGACTGTTAACTGCAACATCAGCAGTTTGAGTAACCTACCAGCTGCTCCGCGGGAGAAAGATGAGGCTTTCTACTCCCGTAAAGATTTACACCCTCGGAAACCCTATACAGGGTCGCTATGGGTCGGAACCGACTCGATGGCACATAACAACAACAACAACCAGCCGCTCCCAGGGAGAAAGATAAGGCTTCCTGCTCTTGTAAAGGTTTATAGTCTCAGAACCCTATACAAGGTCGCTGTGAGTCAGAACGAACTTGAAGGTACACACCCGTCACCATTTAGCTTTAGATTGTTGTTGTTAAGTGCTGTTGAGTTGATTCTGACTCAGTGGTCCTGTAATAGGGCTTCCAAGGAGCAGCTGGTGTCTCTGAAGCGCCAACTTTGTTAATAAATGGGTTAATAAATATTATTTATTTAAAATATTTTGATAGCTAAGTTTCAGTATAATTGGTTTCCTTTGAAATTCAGGAGTTTTGTGCATTTAAAGACATCATTCAAAGGGCATATGTTGTTGCTATAGTTAAGTGCTGTAGAGTTGGTTCTGACTCATAGGGTTTCCAAGGAGCAGCTGGCAAGTTTGAACCACCGACTTCGTGGCTTAAACCGATCTTGTGGTCCAGTGCCTTCCCAGGATGTATAAAACTGCTGAAATCTGACAAAGGCTTGTGAATTACACCAATGCTGCATTCCTGGTTTGATGTTGCGTTATAGTTAAGTAAGCTGTGACCACTGGGAGAAACTCAATGAAGGCTACACGGAGCCTCTTTAGACACATTTCCCCCCAACTTTCTGCAAATCTATAATTGTTTCAAAAACATCATTCAGAAAAAGGTCCCTACGCTTTACCAGATGGCTAAAGGGGTCATCAGTAGAGAAAGTCAACATGCTAGGCCCAGGGAGATATGGCCTAGATGCCACACACAGAAGGCAGGGTGCACATGAGGTACAATCCTAGAAGATGTATGCTAGTACTCACTGAAACCGGATAGATGCCTGGTCCAGATAATAGATGTCAAAGAGCCAACGTAAAAATACATCCAAACTAGAAGCAAGAACAGAGACAGGCCCTGGAGTTAGCAAACCTATGAGCCAAATGCCTAGGGTTCAGTTTGGTTTTGCCCAGCTTCCTTCTCTCGCTACCCAATTCCCAAAGACTCTTGTATCCTAATACTCTAGCTGGTCAGTCCACACTGCAACTCTTCCTACTTAATGCAGGACCACTCCTGCCCCCAACTCTTCAGCTCATCAACTCTCTTCTCCAGCAAACCTTCACCAGCCATTTCTCCCATAGTGCTCTCTGTCTTCTGAATTTATACTGCAGGCTGGCTGTGTTCTTAACTGGGGATGTCAATTAGCTGCCAGACATGCCTTGTCCCCACATGGGGATGGTAAGTTCTTTGAGGGTGGTTCATGTGGCTCATGCTAAGCCCATGACAGGCACTGGGCTGTTATTTGATGAATGCACAACAACCACTAGTAGGTCAATCCTATCTAAAAAAGGAGGTTCCAACTCTAGGGTGAGCAGGACTGAAAGAGGAGGGAGACTTGGAGGTATGATACCTCATCAGTCCCATAGAGGGCAGAATGACCACCATGAACACCAGGAAGATGTAACACTTGTACATTATGATCAGATTTTGACTCGATCTAGAAGGAAACAGAGACAGGTTGATCAGTGAGGGAGATATGGTAAGAACATAAGCACACCAATTTGATCTCCATGGAGCGTGTGGGCTATGCTGTGGCTGGGAGAACACATGATTGACTAGTGATGTCTGCCCTGGGCGCAGACACACAATGCCACACAGAAGTTATCTTTGAGTTAAAGGGACATTCCCAGTGATCCTCAGAATCCCCACAGAGTTCCAATAATCAACATAAGTCTTGTTCTTAGCCAGGATAACATGTCTTGTTCTTAGTTAGGATTTCTGTTAGGACAAATGTTCTGCCTTATTGCTTAGTAGAAGGGTAGGAACTTAGGGTGCAGAAAACAACTTTGAGACTCATATGATCTTCCAGCCAGAGCAGCCTCCCCTGCCTCAAGTTATGCCAAACAGATCCTATCCAGTTAACTAACCCCACGGAACTATCAGGGCTAACAAGTGGGAAATGTCCTGTTTAGATTTTTGGTTCTATGGGGCCCAAATGCATATGCAGACAGACTGAACTGTGACCAGTCTAGTTAGCATTCCCCAAACAAGGCCCGTTCTTTCCCTCTTGTCCTGTGTCCTCAGCTGGAAAGCCCTTGGCACTGCCTAGCTATTGCCTATAGCACCAGCTCTTCAGTGCCTGGCTTGGGCTTGGTTTGAACCCTATAACCTTCATATGGTGGTCTTTTCACAGCATCCTTGAGACTAGAGTCGGAGAGACAACCTGGTCCCTTGATCCAGAGAGAAAATGCCTTGTTGATCTACTGCTTAGGCCAAAGCAAGGCCAAGTGCCAGGCTGGTGTGGGTGGTGTGGGGGTTGTGGGGAGAGAGGGAAAGGCTGGGGGAGGAGGCCCTGGCTCACCTGGTCCAGTGCGCCTCAAGGAAGGCAGAGAAGTAGACCATCAGAGGCATAATCACTGTAAAGATCCACAGCAACAGGGAGGGGAAGAACTGGGTCACAATGGGGCTCTGCAGGGCCAGAGAGGAGAGGCAGGACAGACATCAACAAAAGAAGAGTCCCTTCCCATCCAGGCTGCCCCTGACTCTGGCCACGCCCAGGCACTTCTCCCTGACTCCCTACACCTGAGGCTGCTCATGGGCCTGGCCTTGCTCAAGTGCCTTCCAGGCCAGGTGCAAACTAGGCTGATATTCAAGGGCAGTTGGAGTTCCCAAGGGGCTCAGTGCCAGCTGCAGCCTGTCATATCTCATACCTCCTGGAGAGAACACCACCCCTTACCCAAGTTGTGTGTGGGATGGAGGAGGGGGATGATGGTGAAGGAGGGCACTCAGGGAGCGCCCTGGCACTTTCAGCAGGCATGCTGCCTGGGGCCCATGTGAGGGGGATGAAGGACAGCAAGAGCAAGCAGCAGAAGTGGTGTGGCTCCAGGTTTGCACGTGTGTGCAGGTGTGTGTCTGTACACGTGCACGAGCTTGTATATGAACACTTGTGTGTGCATGTGTGAGCATGTGAGTGTACATGTGTGTGCATATATGCATGTGTGCGTGTGAGCATGTGAGTGTGAGCATGTGTAAATGTCCATGCGTGTGAACCTGCATGTGGGCATTATGGGTGTGCCCATATGAACATACATGTGAGTGTGTGCATGTGTGTGCAGATATGTGTCTGTACATGTGCACGAGTTTGTATATGAACACTTGTGTGTGCACGTGTGCACATGTCAGTGTACATGTGTGTGCATATATGCATGTGCACATGTGAGCATGTGAGTGTGAACATGTGTAAATGTCCATGTGTGTGAACCTGCATGTGGGCATTATGTATGTGCCCATATGAACATACATGTGAGTGTGTGCATGTGTGTGTGTGTTACTGGGAAGAGGCATGGGATACGGTTGAAAGAAGGGACTGCTAGGCTCCTTATAACAGCCTTGATGCCATAGTGCTGTTATTGTGCATTTGGGAAAGACTCAATTTGGGCTCATGGAGCCCCTCTGTGTGCAGTAGAACAGCTCCCCAGGGATTCCAAAGCGGTGAACTTTTGGAAGCCTGTCTTCTGAGGTGCTAGTGGATGCTTTGAACTGCCATCCTTTCAGTCAGTGGTCCTGCACGGAACCATCTGTTCCACCCAGGGACAGTGGAATTGGGAAATGGGCCAGTGATTCCTCTGAACTCCCTATCAATAACAGTCACCCTCTTAGCTCCTGGGCTGGAGCGTCCAGGGCTGAAAGCTTCCATCCTGAAGTGGAGGTGTCTGGAGGAAGGTAGAGACAGGTCTGGGGCTCTTCTTTCTCTCAGAGGGTGGGGCTTCCTCACCCTTCCTCACCCTTCCCTACCCTCTACCTTACCATCGAACCAGAGACCCCCAGACCCAGAAAACTTGGGACAAACCAAGCTCACACTTGTCACACCCTGCCCAGCTTGGTCCCCGTACCTCTTGCTGGTCTACAGTGACTCTATCTCAGGAACCCTCCAAGCCCACACTTGAGTGGATCACCCAATGTTCCCCAAACTTGCTGTAGAACCTGTCCGCAGCTCCCCGCTCTTTCTTTCCTCTCTAGCCTCAGTCCCTAAGATGGGGAATGACCCAGATTCATCCACCCTGAAACAGAGCAAACTCCACCTCACCATTTCCACCTCCATTATGTGGGCAGTGTATGGCAGGGCTCTGTAGCCTCGTCCCAGTGGGTCTCCCATCCTTGCCTGAGCTCTTCCTTGATCTCCCTGGGGCCCCCATGCCTAGCTTGAGCAGAGGAGGTACCTGCAGGTTCTCGATGGGGCGGGTGACATTGTACATGTCAATGGTGTTGATGATGATAGCAGGTGTGGTGAGGAAGAAGAAGAGGAAGAAGAGGAAGGTATTGATTGCAATAAATCGGGCCCACCAAAAGAAGCGACGGATGGACAGATGTTTCCTGGAGAGGGAGGGAGAGGGACACTTAGTATTCTGGGTCCCAGCTCATATGTGTGCCAGCTGTCACCCAGGCTGCCCACCTCTAATTCAATCCCCCGGGTCCAGATCTCATGCATAGAGCTCCTTCATCATTTTCCCAGCCACACTATTTGGAAGAGCTCTGAATATATTACATGTGGTTGTTAAGTGCTGTCGAGTTGGTTCCGACCCATGGTGACCTGTATAGGGTTTCTGAGGAGCAGTACTGGATTTATGGTTAGCAGTCCTGTGCTTAGCCTACAGTACCACAACAGGACTTACACACAGCTGAGGAAAAAATGGACCTCAGTTCTTGCTGAATGAAAAATCTATTTTTCCAAGGTTGGGGGCCTTCCAACTTGTGGTGAGGGTGAGTTTGGGGAGTCAGCTGTGAGTTTTGGGGGACACTATCTGGATGGCTGTAGGCTCAGTTCCTGTGGAATCCCTCCTGGTCAGTTCAGAGGACTCAAAGGGGAGGGGAAGTACGAATGGGCTTACCAAATAATGTCTTTGGGGTGTGGGGCAAGAGTGATCCTCCAGCGATACGACTTGACAATGGTGGTCACTGAGGATTGGTTGGGGCGTGCGCCACACTGGATGTACTTGTAATCCTCCAGGATGCTGCAGACATGGGAGAGGATGGAAAGACAGAAGTCTGGGAGTGAGGGGACCAGATAAGGAGGGGCTCATGCTAGGGTCCTGGGACCACTTTCACCACCCCATAGATGATAGCATTCAGCATCCTGGGGATTCTTGGGTATGTTTCCCAGGACCTTAAGGGTGGCAGTTCCTAAGATCTAGTAGCTGGAGAAAAGCAGGTATTTGAGGATGCCTTGACTGTCAGGAGGGGAAGGGTACATGGCTCTCAGCTAATGCCTTTCCCCTTAAGAACAGTGGAAACACATGGGCATGCTCTTTTAGGAACACTTCGAGATGTTCACTTAGGAAGCAGGGAAGCACCAATGTGAGCCTCGTCTTTGTATCAACGGCTACCAGTCACTGAGATCTTTCTGTGTGCCTGGCACTGTGCTAAGTGGTGGTTAATTTAATCCTAAGTGTTCACAGAACTCAATGGAGGTGCCTAAAGACACAGTCAAAGAAGGCTAAGTGCTGGCACTAGAGCCATATTTTTGGCTAAGCACTGGACTGCTAACCTCAAAGTCTGCAATTCAAACCCACCAGCCACCCCTTGAGAACCCTATATAGGGGCACTATGAGTCAGCACAGACTCGAAGGTACTTAACAACAACTCATACTTCTACTATAGATAAACCTGTTTACCAAATCAGTGTCTCAGAAATGAACAATATTTTCATGTTGTTGCTGATGATGTTAAGTACCATCGAGTCGATTCTGACTCACAGCAACCCTATGAACAACAGAACAGAAACACTGCTGGGACCTGTGCCATCTGTTATTATGTTTGAGCCCATAGTTGCTGCCACTGGGTTACTCCATCTCCTTGAGGGTCTTCCTCTTCATCACTGACCCTCCACTTCATCAAGCATGATGTCCTTCTCCAGGGACTGGCCGATTTTAACAACATGTCCAAAATATGAGAGGCACAGTCTCTCTGTCTTCGCTTCTAAGGAGCATTTGTATTTCTTCCAAGACAGTACTGGCAGCCCATAGCACTTTCAGTATTCTTCACAAACACCATATTTCAAATTCATCGAGTCTTCTACTGTCTTGCGCATTCACTGTCCAACTTTCACATGCACATGAGGCTACTGAAAATACCACAGCTTGGATCAAGCTTACTTTAATCCTCAAAGTGACATGTTTGCTCTTTAACACTTTAAAGAAATCATTTGCAGCAGATCTGCCTAATATAATATATAGTTTGATGGCTACTTTCATGAGCATTGATTGTGGATCCAAGCAACATGAAGACTTAGACAACTCCAACCTTTTCTCTATTTATCTTGATGTCATTTACTGGTCTAGTGGTGAGAATTTTTGTTTTCTTTACATTGAGGTCTAATACATATTGAAGGCTATCATTTTCATCAGTAAATATTTCGAGTCCTCTTTACTTTCAGCAAGCAAAGATGTGTCATCTGCATATCACAAGTTGTCAATGAGTCTTTCTCCAATTCTGATGCCACATTCTTCCCATAATCCACCTTTATGCATTATCTGTTCAGCATACTGATTGAACAGTATGGTGAAAGGATACAATCCTGGTGCACACCTTTCCTGAATTTAAACCACTCAAGCATCCTCTTGTTCTTTTTGAATGATTGCCTCTAGGTCTATATACAGAGTCCTTATTACACAGTTTAACACAGTTAAGTGTTCTGGAATACCCATTGTTCTCAATGTCGTCCATAGTTGGTTATGACCCAAACAGTTAAAAGCCTTTGCATAGTCAACTAAGCACAAGTAAACATCATTCTGGTATTCTCTGATTTCAGCCAAGATCCATCTGACATCTACTTCCACATCCTCTTTTGATTGCGTCTTGGATTTCTGGCAGCTCCTTGTTGACGTACTGTTGCAACTGTTTCTGAATTATCATCAGCAAAATTTTACTTGCATGTGGTATTAATGATATGGTTCTATGATTCTGTTGGGGTCATGTTTCTTTGTAATGGGCACAAATGTGGATCTGTTTCAATTGGTTGACCAGGTCTTTAAAATTTCTAGGCATAGACAAATGTGTACCTCCAGTGCTACATCAATTTGTTGAAACATTTCAACGTGTATTCCGTCAATTCCTGGAGGCTTGTTCTTTACCAATGCCTTTAGTACACCTTGGACTTCTTCCTTCAGTGCTATTGACTCTTGATCATATGTTACCTCTTGAAACGGTTGAACATGATCCATTTCTTTTTGGTACAGTGACTCTGTGCATTCCTTTCATCTTCTTTTGATGATTTCTGCATCATTCAATGTTTTGCCCATGTTGTTGTTGTTGTTAAGTGCTGTTGAATCGACCCATAGAGACCCTGTATAGGATTTCTGAGGAGCAGTTGGTAAGCTTGAATCGCTGACCTTGTGGTTCAAATGAACTTTGCAGTCTAGCGCATTAACCCACAGTGCCACACCAGGACTCCATTTTGCCCATAGAATCCATCAATATTACAAGTCAAGGCTTGAATGTTTCCTCAGTTCTTTCAGCTTGAGAAATGCTGAGTGTGCTCTTTCCTTTTGGTGTTCTAACTTCAGGTCTTTACACATTTCATTATAATACTTCACTCTGTCTTCTTGAACTGGCCTTTGAAATTTTTTGCTCAGCCCTTTTGTTTCATCATTTTTCCATTTGTTTTAGCTTCTCTAGGCTGGAGAGCAAGTTTCAGGTCTCTTCTGACATCCATGTAGGTCATTTCCTTCCTGTCTCTTTAATGAACGTTTATTTTGTTCCTGTATGATGTTTTTGATATCATCTCACAACTCTTCTGGTCTTTGGTCATTAGGGTCTAATGCATTAAATCTGTTCTTGAGATGGTCTCTAAATTTTGCCTCTCGTGGACTTGTTTTTTTTAGCTTATTTTATTTATTTATTTTTTTTAGCTTCAGCCTGCACTTGCATATGAGCAATTGATGGTTGTTCCACAGTTGACTCCTGGCCTTATTTTGGTTGATGATATTGAGCTTCTCCATTGTCTCTCCCCACAGATTGTAGTCAATTTCATCCCAGTGTTTTCCATCTGGTGAGGTCCATATGTATAGTCACCTTTCATGCTGTTGAAAAGAGGTATTTGCAGATTAAGTTGTTGGACTTTCAAAATTATATCATGTAATTTCCTGCATCATTTCTATCACCAAGGCCATATTTTCCAACTACTGATCCTTCCTCCAACTTTTGCATTCCAATCACCAGTAATTATTAATGCATCTTGATTGCATTCTTGATCAGTTTCAGACTAAGTTCGTAGAATTCTTCAATTTCATCATCACTGGCTTTTGTTATGTAAATTTGAATAATAGTGGTATTAAATGGTCTTCCTTGTAGGCATATGCATATTATCCTATCACAGACAGTGTTGTACTTCAAGATAGGTTGACATGTTCTTTTCGTTGATGAACGTGACACCATTCATCTTCGATTTGTCATTCCTGGTATAGTAACCAATGTGATTGTCAGAATCAAAAGGCTCCAATACCAGTCCATTTCAGCTCATTAATGCCTAGGATATCAATCTTTGTGCATTCCATTTCATTTTTGAGACCTTCCAATTTTGTATTTTCAACATTGTATTTCAAGATAGACTTTGGAATTTTATTTTGATGATGAATGAGACACCATTCCTCTTCAATTTGTCATTGATGTCATAGTAAACCATTGTTGTTGCTGTTAGGTGCTATCGAGTCAGTTCCAACTAATAGCAACCCTTTACAAAGCAGAATGAAACACTGCCCTGTCTTGCACCTTCCTCACAACTGTTACACTTGAGCCCATTGCTGCTGCCACTGTGCCAATCTATCCTGAAGGTCTTTCTCTTCTTTGCTAGCCCCTCTACTTTACCAAGCATGGTGTCCTTCTTCAGGGACTGGTCCCTCCTGATAAAATGTCTGAAGTATCAAAGACAAAGTCTCACTGTCCTGGCTCCTAAGGAGCCTTCTGGTTGCACTTCTTTCAAGACAGATTTGTTTGTTCTTCTGGCAGTCCATGATACTTTCAATATTCTTCTCCAACACCATAACTCAAATGAATCCATTCATCTATGGTCTTCCTTATTTATTATCCAACTTTCACATGCATATGAGCCTACTAAAAATACCCTGGCATGCATCAGGCATACCTTAGTCCTTAAACCGATATCTTTGTTCTTGAACACTTTAAAGAGGTCTTGTGCAGCATATTTACCCAATGTAATATGTTATTTGATTTCTTGACTGTTGCTCAACACATGAGTGTTGACCGTGGATCCAAGAACAATGAAGTCCTTGACAACTTCAATCTTTTCTTCATTTAGCATATTATTTATCATAATGTTACAATCAGTGGTGAGGATTTTCATTTACACTGAGGTGTAGTCTGTACTGAAGGCTGTAGTCTTTGGTCTTCATTAATAAGTATTTTAAATTCTCTTTGCTTCCAGCAAGCAACCTTGTGTCACCAGCAAATCACAGGTTGTTAATAAGTCTTCCTCCAATCCTGATGCCACATTCTTCTTCATATAATCCAGATTCTTGGATTATTTGCTTAGCATACAGATTGAATGTTGTTGTTGTTAGGTGCCATCGAGTCGATACTGACTCACAGCAACCTTATGCACAGCAGAACGAAATACTGCCTGTTCCTGGGACAAACTCACTATTCTTGCCATGCTTGAGTCCATCGATGCTGCCACTTGGCCAATCCATCTTTTGGGGGGGTCTTCCTTTTTCTCTCTGACCCCCACATTACCAAAGATGATATTCTTCTCCAGTGACTGGTCCCTTCTGACAATATGTCCAAAATATGAGAGATGAAGTTTGGCCATCTTGGCCTCCAAGGAGCACTCTGGCTGAACTTCTTCCAAAATAGATCTATTGGTTCTATTGGCAGCCCATGGCACTTTTAGTATTCTCCTCTAACACCATAACTCAAAGGCATCAACTCTTCT